CACTGCTTGCTTCTGTCACTTCTGCTTCCAAATATTTGGTTTATATCAATTTGCTCGTAGCAATCTGATCGTCAAGAAAACATCTGAAAAGTACATTGGTTCATCTTGCCGTAAGTTTTTCATTATAATTTTGAGAAGTTGGCCAACATTTCTTTGTGCCACTAATGTTTGTTCAGCGCTGGAGCGCCATGACGCTGCACAATGAGACTCTGGTCCTGGACTCGTCCTCCACCACCACTGGGAGCGACGGCATGAACCTGGTGCTGCGGCAGGGAGTCCTGAGGGACAAAGACTCCTACATCTTCACTCTGCATGTGACCGACAGCAGTCTGGATGGTGAGGGAGCTGCGTCCATCATACTGCACCACAACATGCCCCCAGAAGGCGGGGAGTGTCACCTGACAGGAGCAGGGGAGGCGGGAGTGCTCTACGGGGACGGAGACGGCTGGAGGATCCGGACGCTGCTGGACCAGGTGCATTTCAACTGCTCAGGTAGGACTGAGATCGACATCTAACTGGTTTTTCATCATTTAGTGTTAAATAACCCAGTAAATATGCTATCGTTCCTCTGTGTGCGCAGGGTACAGTGATCTGGGCGTCTCAGAAATCCCGTTCCTGTACAGCCTGCTGGTGACACGGTGCAGAGAGGATTACTGCGAGGATTTCTGCATTTACAAAGGCAGCAACCCGGAGCACTCAGCCTTCCTGCCCCCGGGCTTCCGCTCAGCTCGACACCGCGTGTCCGTGTCCATCACGGTGGAGGACCACCAGGGTGCTGCCAACCTCGCACTTAACAAGTAACTGCTACTTACGTTACGGTTTTTAGACTGGGGTGATGTGCTCTACCTTCCTGGTTTTAGTGAGAACACAAGCAGCAGCATTCTGGATCAGCTGCAGCTGTCTGATTGATTTTTTTAAGCAGACACGTAAAGACGGTGTTCTAGTAATCAATGGGACTAAAGATAAACGTCCTAGAATCCTAGAAATGCTCTTCAGGTGATAGAAGACTGACTTTGTAACTGTCTTTATGTGTCGGAGTACATCCCTCCCCGCAGATTTCAGACCTGATCTCCAGTTTCAAGTTGTAATAACTGAAGCTGCGCGCTGACTCTGGATTGGTCCAAAGATAATAACTTCAGTTTTGTTTCTGTTCAGGTTCAATCAAGCCAAACCAACTGTTAGATATTTATTAGAGTCACGTAACCATGAGTACAGTATAGAAACTTCATTAGTTCCCAAATGGAAACAAAACGTCTGCGGCAGAACTGAAGACTTCTTTGGCCTAAACTACTAAACTAAGGACTGAAATGGCGAGCCTGAAGCCTACACTCATCAGCGTCGGTGTGTTCTGTGTCTTCATCCAGGACCATTGAGGTTGTGCTGCCAGATCTTCCTCCCGAGTACAGCAGCCTTCCTCACTGGCTGTCTGAGATCACCGACAGCAAGCTGAAGAGGCTGCTAGAGCAGGGAGACTCCCAAAGGGTCCGAGAGTTATCGCTGGCTCTCATTACGGTGCTGAACGAGGTAAGGAACGCCCGTCCACCCAGAACTCCTCGACACGCCGGTATGCCCGACCACAACGTGGGCTTTGCTTTCCATTAGTACGAACAAACCAGGGAGTCTTCACGCGTGTCCCGAGACGAGCGCGACTACAGAGTCCGAGTCCGCAGCAACATCACCAGAGCGCTGACTGCTCTCGACCTGAACACCGTCAGCGACATCCAGCAGACGTCTGCCGCTTTGGCGCAATGCACGGTGGGCTGCGTGAGATTAGACGGGCGTGGGAGGTACAAAAAGAGCAAGAATAGAGGAGGGGAAAATGGTGGTTTCCGTTTGGTTTTTTTGTGTTTTTTTTAGGCTGTGAGTCGAGAGTTTATCTGCGAGGAGTGTCAGAACAGCACGCTGAACAAGCTGGAGTCAATGCTGGAGATTCTGCAGACGGACACCAAGCAAGGCACGGTGCCCCCGACAGAGATAGCCGATAACATCCTAAACATCATGGGTGAGTGAGAGGTTAAGTCTAAAGAGATTTTGTTTTTCAGGAATCACTTCAATAAAATAATAATATTTCAGTAAAAGTCTGAAGAGATCGTTACGAAGAATCCAAAGGAATCGTGTGGAAGAAGCTGCCCTGGTCAGCCGGGATTGCTTGACCTATCTAGTTTCTTCTCTCATCAGGTGATCTGATCCATCAGGTCAGCCAGTCGGCCTCCCATTTTAACTTCCAGCCCGGCTATGTGGACACTCCTTCTCCCTTCTCCACCTTCTCCTCCTCTTCATCGTCGTCTGTTGATCATGATAACACCCTGATGGACGCCCCGTCCTCCTCCCTGGACCCTCACCCTCTGCGCGTGGCGGCGAAGGCCTACAGCCTGTCCTCCGTCCTCATGCTGATTCTCATGCACGCCCGGGTGCTCAACGAGGAGCCGCTCATCCTCAGAGGGGCCGAGATAGCCGCCACAGGAAAACTGGCCGACCCCCAGAGTCTCCTCTGCTACCATGGCAAC